AAGTAATATGTTAATCATTACAGGCTTAAGTGATGGTGTAGTTCAAGTAGGTTGTTGTCAACATAGAAACTTAAGTAATATGTTAATCATTACAGGCTTAAGTGACAGTGTAGTTCAAGTAGGTTGTTGTCAACATAGAAACTTAAGTAATATGTTAATCATTACAGGCTCAAGTGACAGTGTAGTTCAAGTAGGTTGTTGTCAACATAGAAAATTAAGTAATATGTTAATCATTACAGGCTCAAGTGACAGTGTAGTTCAAGTAGGTTGTTGTTAATATAGAAACTTAGCACAGTGCAACATCTCTACCAAAGCTGTAATTTAATTTTTTTGTGTGCACCTGAAGGAGATTGTCATGGCTGAAATATTAATTATGTTTAAGTTATATAGATATTGTTAAATGTCATTTATTTTATGTTATTTTTAAGTTTTATCATATTTTTTTCTCTCTAGTCTCCGTAGCCTAGCAATCATATTAAGATCTGATCTTTTATAATAACCTTTTCATCATTTGGTTCGGCTTATGTTGTTATGCAGTACTGTGTGATTTCAACTCGTAAGGTTACAAAACATTACTTTTTGTAGTACGTGAATGTATAATCTTCAAATTGTCGAGTATTTTTTTCATGGATCTGGACTTTAAGCACATTCTGTCATTGGTTCTTTTTTTTTTAAAGTGAGGTATTTTCACTTTGCTAGACACGTCAAAAATTAGGCTTTTTGTTTTCCTGTATTATTTTTTTATTAAATATCACACGGAATTAAAGGTCTGTTTGTAGAACTTGTAGATGGTCCCATAAGTTTTGTAATATTTACTTCTGTATTTGTTAACACAAAATTAGAGATATTTCTACAGTAAATTGATGAAATATTTCTGTTCCTTCAAGCAAGTTTGTATTGGTATTACTAGATGTGGTCACCTGATTATGTTCAAGTGCCTGTTGAACCAGAGAGTCCCCAGATCAGTCCCGATGAAGAACTCGCCGAAGCTTCGAAAGGCCAAGAAATTGTTCGTCGTATGAGTTGTATAACTACTTGTGAAGATGAACTGAATCAGTATCAAGGCATACTTGGAAGAAGTTTCTCAGAGTTTTCACTGTCGGAAGATGAGACTGATGAGACTTTAGGTAAAGTTTGTAAAATTGTTCTGATTTTTGATATGAAAGTATTAAGTTTATGTGCACTATGACCAGTTGAAAACTGTACTATTGAGCAGTGTAAGCTTTCATTATCTTGAAAGAAAGAGTATGAAGGATTGTGTATTTCTGAGAACTGTAACAAACATTTTATTCTGAACATACCTACACTGTTAAACAGCATCATTCAAAACATTTTTTTTTTCCTTGTATGAAACTTCTTGCTTATGTGAACAAAATCCTCTAATAGGTAGGGGTAATGACAAATTATTTTTCTGATTTTACCTCCCTCCCCCTCCCCATCTAAGAATGATGGTCAGTTCAGTTGTCCATTTATTTTCTTTTTTTTTGTCGCCATCTTGAACAATTGATGTGATTCCCGAAGATAACTATTCTATAATCTCACTGAAAAACATCAATTTGTTTGATGTCACTTGCTATTCCATTTATTCCTTGAAGCCCTCCAGTGGCACAGTGGTATGTCTGCGGACTTGCAATGCTAGAATCCGGGTTTCGATACCTGTGGTGGGCTGAGTACAGACAGCCCACAAACATCTATTCCTTGAAACAAAAAAACGTGAAAGAATTATTTGAGTGTATTTAGACAAACAGTAAACTATTCTAAGAATCTAAATCTTTAGTGAAACAGAAGAATGTATTGAAAAGGATAAAATCTCTATAGTATAAAATATGGTTACAATCAGTGTTAAGAGTTAGGCCAGTATATGTTCCAGTAGTTGTTGGAACAGGCATTTATTTTTGTCTTATAAGTAGTATTTAAAAGTTATGTACTTCTTAGCCATGCTTTAACCGTGGTGTAAATCATCATATTAGTTAATGCTGCTTTGTCAATCTTCAAATTCATGAATGTTTAAATAGAGTCACTGATTAAACAGTTTGACCTTAGAGGGCAGCAAGTGACATAAAACATGCCTTATTATTTTGACATTTTTAATACATTTTGGCAGTTAATAGTTGGAGAATCAGTTTTCTGGCATACCTTGTGATTTTATAAGTATAGGAACTCTTTAATTATTTGTTTATTTTAATATAATTTTGTAGAAAAACTTCAAATAATTATATTGAATTGTTTGTATTTTCTCAATTTGTTATTTCTCTCTCAGTTTAAAAGGAAAACTTATAGACTGAAGTACCACATTTAAATATAAGATTTTATTAACCCACAAGCTTTCCAACTCTTTAAAAAATGTAATTATCTTAACAGCTCCTCCTTGTGGGAGCAGTATGGCATATTGGCTTTATGCTTTGGACTCATAGTTAGATGGTTGTGCATCATGATGTTGTGTCCTTGTGCAAGGCACTCAGCTGAATGATGGGTACCAGCTGTTATATGGACTGTAAGCTGTATGATGGGTACCAGCTGTTATATGGACTGTAAGCTGTATGATGGGTACCAGCTGTAATATGGACTGTGAGCTGTATGATGGGTACCAGCTGTTATATGGACTGTGAGCTGTATGATGGGTACCAGCTGTAATATGGGCTGTGAGCTGTATGATGGGTACCAGCTGTTATATGGACTGTGAGCTGTATGATGGGTACCAGCTGTTATATGGACTTTGAGCTGTGTGATGGGTACCAGCTGTTATATGGACTGTGAGTTGTATGATGGGTACCAGCTGTTATATGGAATGGCAATCCTGGCTAGAGAGAATGTGTTACCATTCTCGTCCAGTTGTGCCAGAGTTCAGCACCGGATCATATGAGGGATTTGACCTTGACCTTATGATCAGTCAAATTGAAACACAAAATAAAGGAACAAAAATTAAATGACTAACTGTGACATAGCCAAATTTTAGTATTGACTTAAAAAGAGAATTACCAGAAATTATAAAGTAAATAAAGATGACGATGTGACTATTATATAAAACAGATAAAATTTCACTGTTCACAATGACCCTTCAACACCTTCCATTAACTAAACTACTTTATTATTAATGCATTTAAAATAGGCTTAAGATAATTTTGGTCTTAATGAATGTATGTTATTAGAATCATATTTCTTTTATTAGAGTTTGTGGGTAAAAAAATAGAAAATGAATCTTAAGCTTCCTAATTCAGCTGGAAAATATTTCGGTACAAATTATTATTTCTTTGTAAATCACGATAATGTTAAAGAGGGTCTAAAACATCAGATTTATTTTCAAGTGTGTATAATTTAATTTTTAAACGATTTTCTCAATTCAAAAGAGCCAAAATTAATATATTTGTAACTATTCCTGTAGTTATGTGCAATGCTATAAAAGGTTGATTATCACATTGAAAAAAAAACAAAAAAAACTTGTGTAATGTATAGGTATATTCCTGATTGTTCAGCTACTTGCAGAGGTTGCCAAACGTTTTTGGAGAATGGACCATGTGCTTAACTTTGAAATTATTGGTGGATATATGTAAGAATAATAATAGTAATTTAAATGTTTTTAGCCTTTATCTGCCACTAGTCAGATTAAATCATCCTTCAAACTACATTTGACCAGTGAGACATAGTCTGAGAACTTCTGAGCTAAGGATGAAATCTGATCTGACAAGCAGTTGAAATCTGACACTCAAGATTTTGTATATTTTTACACGTAAGGTACATTTAGGTTTAACAGCTTTTTTATTGACTGCAAATTATGTATATATAATTTTTGCTGTTTTTATTGTGTTTATCAGTAGAGTGTGAAGTTTTCTTTTATGCAACAGTTTTGAGATAATGTTTTAATTATGTGTAAATGCAGTGTTTGACATTTTACAGCTGGTCCTGAAGATACTTCAGAACCTACAAAAGAGAAAGATAGTTTTCCTGCAGGAAAAAATGAATGGCAAACTGTGAAAAAATTAACCTGTGATACAAAAAAAATGAAGAAATCTACATTAAACTCTAACTCTGTTAATATTCAACACTCCAAATCTGTGAGCCTGCTTCAGGGGGAACAACTTCAGAAAACAATGAGCAGAAGTAGCACCGTTACTGTAACAGAAGGTAGGACTGAACAGTTGGGCAGTTTAAGAATAAGCAAGTCAGATACTTCTTTAAGTGAGTCCTTTGTAATGGTGACTGAAGGTGACCTTATTGATGCAAATCCTTCTGCAGAAGATCCTAACCAGAAAAGTGAAATGAAAAAGCAAAACATCTTACGTCAAGGTATGTGATTACTCGGAGAATATAAAGGTTTTCTATTCATCTACAAGCTTTCCAATTGTTTAAATAGTTTTTCATTGTGTGGAATTAAAACATTATTCATATATAATAGCTGAAGTAGTCACAAGGCCATAAACATATTATTGCTAATGGGGGGGGGGGGGTGTCTCAACAATATTGTATAGACCTAATTATTGAATTTATATATTGCAGGTAGACTTGTTATTAAAATTTTATTTGTTTTAATACAAATTTTGAGACGGCTTGACTGGGTAATGATAAAACTTTATTACAAATGTACAACGTTTCGACAAGGATGACAAAATCTTGTCGAAAGGTCGTACATTTGTAATAAAGTTTTTTTATTACCCAGTTGTATTTTCTAAAAAGTGGGTTACTCGTTATCAAGTTTTTAATTTGAATTAAATCTTAAGTTTCGTACTACTTCAACTGGAAAATATTTATGTACATATTATTATATTTTAGATCAAAAACAATGTGACTACTGTTTCAATATTTTTAGGACTGTTCTTCCTTACTGAAAATCATTTGATTTTCTGGTAAAATATTTATGTACATAATATTATATTTTAGATCAGAAAAAATGTGACTACTGTTTCAATATTTTTAGTACTGTTCTTCCTTACTGAAAAATCATTTGATTTTCTGGTAAAATATTTATGTACAAAGCTCTTTGAAGTTAAATCGATGTAGAACAGTTGTGTTTAATAGCACTTTCGTGTAGCATTGTAGTTTATTTGTTACAGGGAAAGTTGCTATTTAATTATTTTGTGGAAGTCACACACAATATGTTAAGTAAAATTTTAGAACGATAACTTTCTAATCAAATAACAAAACCTAGATTGACAGGGGTTATCTTAAATAGAATGAAATATTTAATGTCTCGGATTGTTAAGAACAATAACCTGAGATGTTGAAGGTATAACACAAATAACTATTTAACTCCAAGAACTTTGCTGCTGTTTGGATATGGTTGAATGATAGAAAATTTTTATGATACTTTTATTATTTGTTTGTCCCACTACCAGTGTGTTAATATCTTTTTAAAATTCAGCCTAGGTACATGTGTTTTTTCTAGAAATAAAAACCCAATTTTCAGTTGTTTCAAATACAACTCTAATATTATGGTTTAGGAGTCGCTATTATGGTACGAGTCGCTTTTTAGGCAGAAAAATATTTTCATATAAATATATTTGTTTTAGAATCTATAAAATGTGGGTACAATCTTAAAAAGAAAAAGACAGAGTTTGCAACAATTCATTAGTACAATAAATGTATTTCTTGTTCTCTAATTATTTGAGCGTCCAATGGCTCACCTGTAAGTCTGAAGGCTTATAACACTAAACACTGCATTTCAGTATTACTGGTGGGCACAGAACAGACAGCCCATTGTGTTTAAAAACAACAAATTATATTGTTTCACAAAGTTACATTAATAATTCTTATTCTGATTGAAACAACTAAATTGGGTATTCTTTTGCAAGTTACCTTGAAAATAAGTATAGTATGAACACGAGATAATGCATTTATGTCACTAGTTACCTTGGGAATAAGTGTTCCATTACTATGAAGCATGCATTCATTTTATCAGTAACTGTGTAAACAATTATAACATAAACCAGTTATAGCTGGTGCAGGAAAATACAAGATATTGAAAATAAAACCTTTTGATCTTAAAGAGTTTAGCAGAGTTAACTTGGCTGCTGGTGTTAACATTATCTGAACCCAATAACAAAATGGTTCCATTGATTTGTATTTTTTTAAATTTAAGTAAAACAATGAAGGGCAAGCCTCTTGTGTCACCCCTGTGAAAAACAAAACGTGTCACCCCTGTGAAAAACAAAACGTGTCACCTCTGAGAAAAACAAAACGTGTCACCTCTGAGAAAAACAAAACATGTCACCTCTGAGAAAAACAAAAAGTTGTTTGGTAAACAGAGTGAAAATATATTCACAATAAAAAGATTCCTGAGTTGAATTACTGTTTGTCATGATCTTTATTTATAGATAATGAATAGTTTTTCACATGATGCCAAGACCTTTAGAGCAGCCTGGTTTAAATGGATAGGTGTGTGTGTGTGTGTGTGTGGGGGGGGGTAATTGACTAATGCTACTCACTTCTGCATCGTAAGTACTTTTCTACTAGGTTTGGTGAAACTTGTGGTAATATAGGGTACATCACAATTTTGAAGTTAAAAACTAAAATATTTTTCCCAACAACTGTACAGAGTAGAGACTAAATACGTAATACCCTATTTCTGAAAGTCAACATAAATAGCTACACTTACTTGGAAATTGCTAATGCTACCACAGCAGCTGGTTCAGCATTGTCTCGCCTATCAAATGCTGTGTGCATGGTAAGCTTACTCCGAAAGACTAATTGGCATTCCCATTTGAAACCTAATAAAGAAAATTACTGAACCTGTACATACATACATACATCTTAGTCAACTAATATCAGTCATAATATCTGAACTCGGCAGCATTTGTTGTTTTTAGGTATGGTTCAATTTTAAACGTAGCATATTTATAAACTTCAACAACTATTTTATGCCAAATATACCTTTACCCGAGTGGCACGAATCCATTTTGTTTTTCTCAGGGGGTAACACATTTTTTCACTTAATTCTTGATACAAAAATGCAAATTAATTTCTTTTTTTCTAACCTCATGGTAACTGCATTAGTCTTTGTGTAATATTTCTTAAGAACTCTCTTGTTTACTAAGGATACTCTCAATATTACTTGAGATTTTATCTCAGTGAGCATCAATTCCTTTGATTTTGTTAGTACTTAAATTAGACTCAGAAATGGGTTTTCAAATATTATTTTTTTGCTTGTCAAACATATTTTATTAAATGCTATGTACTGACCAGAATCTGATGTCTGTTTACTAACCTAATCCACGGATTATTGAAAATAACCGAGTTGAAAGATGATTTACATACATGAAGTATGTAAGTTTCACCAGAGTGCGCTGTAACTGATTTAGTGGAGTAGTTTACTATCTTGTAGATAAAGATAGAGCACAACTGTTCATATGGTATATTATTGTTGTTTTAAAGAAAAAAATACGTTATTCTGATTTGTAAGATATATTTACAAGGTAGTGTACAATTGAAATGAACACCATGGATGGTAGTTAAACATGAAGAGGGTCAGAATGTCACCTAATTATTGATTGATTAGGCTGGTTGTCAACTTGAATGACAATATTTACCTGATGAAACTCTGGTGAATTACAGCCAATCATAAACTATACAAATAGAAAAGAGACTTTTTGGAACTAAGTGAAAATACCAAGATAGTTTCACAGAAATTTCCATTGTAAGATTTCATTATGATCTTATTTTAAGTTGATATAATTCAACTTATCACTGTTTTGTTCTTATACTAATTTCAGTTGGATTTCAAAAAAAATAATTCAGTAACCAAATGTTCTGTGATCCTTTTACCAAATTCTCGTGCTAATCTTTGTAAACTAGCTATCCAATCATAATTCCATCAAACACAATGCAGCCTTTATAAGTGGTGAAAACAAACAAGATTAATGTTATTTCAACACAGAAACCATTCCTAAGTAACACAACAATATCCACATGTATATCATGAAGTAACTGAGAATTTAAATTTTGTTTTATAAAGGTGTATGAACTTGTAGTATTTCTATATTTATTTTACCTGTAGGGAAGACCTCCAAATACTAAAGACAATGATGGTTAATAATGCTTTCCTTTCCTGACTGGTAGATATTAATAGATTTATTCTAGTTGGGATTAATTTTTATATTGTGTACTACAAAACTTTTTTATCAAAATGAGTAAAAAAAAAGAAGTTTGTTGTGTCACTGTTTACTTCAGGGCCCATTATGTAATACAAGACGTATAGTTTTGTGTCACTGTTTACTTCAGGGCCCATTATGTAAAACAAGACATAGTTTTGTGTCACTGTTTACTTCAGGGCCCATTATGTAATACAAGAGGTATAGTTTATGAAGATCAATATTATTTATTGCCTCACTGATAGGGATCATCGGACAATTTACGTTGGTGACAGTAGAGGACGTGTCTTTAGTTGGAGTGTAACTGACCAGCCAGGGCGAGCTGTGGCTGATCACTGGGTTAAGGATGAAGGAGGTGAGAACTGTGTTGATTGTGGAGTTCGCTTCTCCTTCGCAGAACGTCGACATCATTGTCGAAACTGTGGACAGTTGTTTTGTTCACGGTAGGTATTAATTTTTTTTTGCTGTAAAATTAACCTTAACACGCCTTTCGTTACTCGGAGAGAGAGAAAGTTAGACTTTTTATATTTTTTTTTACTGATAGGCATAAACTTGAATCAAACCAAGCATTTATGAATGGCTAGTAATAAGACTAGTTGTTAGTTTGGTGGTGTTAGCCTTAACTTTAGTCATTACTTGCTGGATTTGATTTCTGTGTAGGTTTAATACCATGAAGACAGAAACTTTTTTGCAAGTATATCTTCCAGTGTTAATTATCTAATGTTAAAGATTGTAGACAGTTTTACTGGACTTTAGTTTGTCAGCTTGATTGGATCAGAGTTGGTCTAGCTAGAATCATGGTAAATTAGGCTCGCTTCTTATACAAAATTGTTATACTATTAATCATACTTTTGGTTATTTCATTGGTGAGAAAAAGGTAAATTATTATTAGTTTATAATTAACTTTCAAAAACCCAAAAATGGATTATGGCTGTATCTCACTAAAGGATTACGGCTGTATCTCACTAAAGGATTATGGCTGTATCTCACTAAAGGATTATGGCTGTATCTCACTAAAGGATTACGGCTGTATCTCACTAAAGGATTACGGCTGTATCTCACTAAAGGATTACGGCTGTATCTCACTAAAGGATTATGGCTGTGTCTCACTAAAGGATTATGGCTGTATCTCACTAAAGGATTCTAATTGTTTAGAATAAAATAATGGATCATATGTGTGTGATAATAAAATATATCTTAAATATTTAGATTATAACAGTGAATCATAACAGCATATCAATAAATTTTATAGATTGTAACAGTGAATCATAACAGCATATCAATACATTTTATAGATTGTAACAGTGAATCATAACAGCATATCAATACATTTTACAGATTGTAACAGTGAATCATAACAGCATATCAATACATTTTACAGATTGTAACAGTGAATCATAACAGCATATCGATAAATTTTATAGATTGTAACAGTGAATCATAACAGCATATCAATACATTTTATAGATTGTAACAGTGAATCATAACAGCATATTGATAAATTTTATAGATTGTAACAGTGAATCATAACAGCATATCAAGAAATTTTATAGATTGTAACAGTGAATCATAACAGCATATTGATACATTTTATAGATTGTAACAGTGAATCATAACAGCATATCAATACATTTTATAGATTGTAACAGTGAATCATAACAGCATATCGATACATTTTATAGATTGTAACAATGAATCATAACAGCATATCAATAAATTTTATAGATTGTAACAGTGAATCATAACAGCATATCGATACATTTTATAGATTGTAACAGTGAATCATAACAGCATATCGATACATTTTATAGATTGTAACAGTGAATCATAACAGCATATCAATAAATTTTATAGATTGTAACAGTGAATCATAACAGCATATCGATACATTTTATAGATTGTAACAGTGAATCATAACAGCATATCAATAAATTTTAAATGTTGGAAACACAAAACTGGATCAGAACAGCGTGGAATTTTTTTTAAATGTCAGAGACATAACAGCAGATCATGTTAGCATGTCATAAGATATAGTTTAAATGCCAAGATCATAATAATAGTATTCTGTTAGCTGTTCAACTGATATCTAATTATTATATTTGACTATTTTATTGCCCTGATTGTTTTCTTTTTTCTGGGAATTACTTGATTTTCTAAAGAAATCTCCAATGATTTTTTTTCAGATGCAGTCGTTTTGAGTCACAAATTAACCGATTGAGGATTTTGAGGCCAGTTAGAGTGTGCCAAGCTTGTTTTAACATTCTCAGAGCTCAACAAATGTCAGAAGCTCTTGAAGTATCGTCATGAGAATTCGGCTTGTTCACATACCCATTCGCACGAAGAGCCGATAGAGTGGTTTAGTTTCATTCCAGACTCCAAAGCTTTAAGAATAAACCAGGAAATTTGTTTGTCTGATTTTATAGTCTACCTGACTTCCTTGTACAGGGGTTTTTATTGATTGAATGTAAATATCTTATTATTTGTTAGAAATATGTTTGTGGGGTACTTCTAAAACAAATATTTAGTAGACTTGAAATAGGAAATGGTTTAAACACCTGCAAATAAAACGAATTGATGATTGTTTAAAAAAAAAAAGTAAATTATTAAGAACTTTGGAACACTTAAGTATTACTGTATTAAACGTGTATAGTATATGTGCTGTTACGTTGCTGAACGGCAATTTTCTAGTCTGTGGTATATATACTTTATGTGGGAAATAATATGTTAACACTAGTAAAGTTAGCATTTTGGTATAGTGGAAACTTTTAGTATAAAAAAAAAAAAATCGTGTCTGTTTAATTTGAATAAAATTGGTTGGAGGGCACGTTTGCAGCCAGAATATGTGGTTTCTAAGTGCAAAAGCCGAGATTATGAGTAATATTATTTGGTGTTTGGTTAAACCACTGATTAGAAGGAGTAGATGTTAACCATTTGTTCCATTTAGACCATACTCGCAGTATAAAGTTACTCGTATATTTTGTTGTAGAGGATATGAAATAAAACCAGAAAAATTCTTAATTCACTTGGATTTTGTTGCAGTGTTTTAGTCTTTGACGTAGTATAAAGTTGGGCAAATATAAAGAACTTCTGGAGGTTTTAATTGATAGGAAATAGTATAATTTAGGTTGTATACTATGGAACATGGAGTTGACTAAATCACTAATGATATACATGAGTACATCATTGCTCAGTTCATCACAATTTACTGACTTTTATAAATATTTTTCAGATTTAGTCCTCAAAGAATTATGTTTTTGTATTAAAGTCTGTTTCAAATCTACATATATATATAAAAAGGGACATTTAACATGTCCTTACTTTCATAAGCACCCAACACCCCACTTTTTCCACTTAAGTGTACATACACTATTAATAACTTATTCTAGATTGACTTAGCTAGGTATTCATGCTTACTTCTAGTAAGATTGATTACTGTAGTGTGAGAAAGCTAATCAAGCTAGAACATAACTCCACCTACTGTAGCTTTGACTGGCAAGGTAGGATTATACATACGTTTCTACATTGTTAGGAGCAACAATATGATGCACCTATAGGTGTATATTATTAACTACATTGTTTGGAGCAACAATATGATGCACCTATAAGTGTATATTATTAACTACATTGTTTGGAGCAACAATATGATGCACCTTTTGGTGTATATTATTAACTACATTGTTTAGAGCAACAATATGATGCACCTATAGGTGTATATTATTAACTACTTTTTTAGAGCAACAATATGATGCACCTTTTGGTGTATATTATTAACTACATTGTTTAGAGCAACAATATGATGCATCTATAGGTGTATATTATTAACTACATTGTTTGGAGCAAAAATATGATGCACCTATAGGTGTATATTATTAACTACATTGTTTGGAGCAACAATATGATGCACCTATAGGTGTATATTATTAACTACATTGTTTAGAGCAACAATATGATGCACCTATAGGTGTATATTATTAACTACATTGTTTGGAGCAACAATATGATGCACCTATAGGTGTATATTATTAACTACATTGTTTGGAGCAACAATATGATGCACCTATAGGTGTATATTATTAACTACATTGTTTGGAGCAACAATATGATGCACCTATAGGTGTATATTATTAACTACATTGTTTATCGTTCATAATTGTCAGTTGCTGATTTATCTACACACACACACTTGTATCCAAGAAGTTAGGCTAAAATGAAAATAAATTGCTCTAGTGTTCAGAATTCCAGTTTTTATGGCAAGGTCGTACCTTAAAATAATTAATAACCGTTTGTTTTTTTTCTTTCTAGGAATTCATACCTTGAGATTTAGAGGCTGATACCTTCTCTATACGTAGCTAGTACTTGCAGGACTAAAACTACAGTTTTTTTGTTGCCTCAATCCAGTAATCAATGTTTTGTTATTTATATGTTAAGACCAAAACCTATAGGGTGATAGATAGAAAGATACAAACGTGTACATCAAATATTTACATAGCATTTATCTAGTGCAAGAGGCTTAGCTACAGATTCAAATTACATATGACAAAGGGCCCCAGCATAGCCAGGTGGTTAGGGCACTCGACTTGCAATCTGAGGGTCGCTGGTTCGAATCCCCATCCTACCAAACATGCTCGCCCTTTCAGCTGTGGGGGCGTTATAACGTGACGGTGAATCCCACTATTCGTTGTTAAAAGAATAGCCCATGAGCTGGCGGTGGGTGGTGATGACTAGCTGCCTTCCCTCAAGTCTTACACTGCTAAATTAGGGACGGCTAGCGCAGATAGCCCTCGTGTAGCTTTGCGCGAAATTCAAAACAAACGTATGACAAAGAAGAAGATGTATTGTTTCATATGGTTTCTAACGGATAGGGTTAAACCGAAGAGAATGCCCATTCTTTGTATATTGAGTTCTATAGGTGTACTTCATGGATGGTTTAAATCGGATTATTTAAGGGTTTTGGTTGCATTGATGTGACGATAAGTTACATGGCAAGTTGCCTCAAGTGACAATATATAATATTCTTTTATCTTATAGTAGCTTTCCCGAACACTGAGGACAATAAAAACTCCTTGTTGAATACAAACAAGCAAAAATTCCAAACAATCAACTTGACCATAAGGTCAAAGATCGTCAACAGTAAAGTAACAAAATCTAGTCATCCCAAGCATGTTTACTGATGGAGGTGAACAATACTTCCAGTTCCTACTTGTACCACGTGTTTCTCAGGGTTATAATAGTTATAGAGGATAAACCAAGAAAAGGGAGTGGTTGAAATTCAGATCAGAGTTTGCAGATCCAGAAGTGTCACGATCAGAAATAACTATAAACATTTTTTTTTATATTACAAGTGGGTGAAACGTTAGATCTTTGTAAGATGGATAACCACTGTGAAAGAAATAGGTTCGGAAAAAAAATCAATGTGCAGGGTTTCGTACTGAATGTTTAACTCTAGGATATATGGCTGATTCAAATGTCTCAAGTATTTCTATGGCGAACTCTACATGGTGTACCTCTGTCAGAGGTGTAAATATGAGCAAATGTACATTTCAAAAATATTGGCTAATCAACGAACTGGAACCATAAATTATAAAGATGATTAAGTAATTTTACCCCATGGCGTTATTCACTCTTAGGCAAGCATGCATAGAATTTATCCATTCTGACAGGGGGAGCTATCCATTTCACTTTACGTGTAGAACGTGCTTGCTCTTTTCAATTAAACTAGACGTTCCCGTTTATTACTCTACCACGAGGAATGTGACAATCATATACGATTTATATGAACAACAACAATCTTGTCACGTAGTTAGGTGGCGAGGTGATGTTTAAGTATCATTGGTAACGGTTGTCTGCCTCTGAAAATAACTTAGATAGAATCTTTATTTCTAACGACAAATTATAAATTTGTTTCACGTGTAATTCAATTGGACAAAAGGATTTTTATGAAATTATATCACGATACTGGTAAAAAAAAAGTTAACTGATTGTAAAAAAAAAATACTTTACAATCATGGGAGAGATACAAGGAATAATTTGAATAAAATAAGGGTAACATAAGTAGTGATAAAAACAAAGGGTAGAATTAAACACCACATAAATCTCAAGAGTTTCAGTAACAAAGGTAATCGAATTGTACTAGTTTTCGAAATAAACTCACCTTTCGCATTACCTGTACTTACAGATCGATCCTAATATCAGAATTGGACACGTTCCAAAGTCTCACTCTCACGTGCATGCAGACACGTTTCTGATGCTGCTTTCTTACTGCTGTTTCTCAACCTTTTTTATTGTGAAATTCTTCTATGACGTTACCATTAGTGGATTAGGACCTTTATCAAAACCCACCCATGATTCGCTTGGCTCGCCTTCTCCCCTACCAAAAAAATAACATTATTTTAATTTATTAGCTCATTAATAGACATGAGAAATGAAAGGACTGTGGTGAAATTTATTAAAAAAACACATTTTTAAATATACCTTCATCTGTTGTGATAAATTTATTGAACTCCAGAGAAAGGTCTTAACAGTTAACGTTGAGGTAACAAATAAGACGTGAAGGGACAAAAAGTACTACTGGTTACCCGAGAATATATTCAGAGGAAAAATGAATTCTGTTTAATTGACACCACGTTGGCCTGACAACTAGAGGAGTCTGCGCAGGAGGTGAGAAATGAAGACTAACATTGCTTAAAGTTCATGATGCTTTGACTATGATTCATCATACATCAGGGATAGATATCACAGATTTCCAAGCCGCGACCTTCCTCATTTGAGAATTTGAGCATATCCCTTGACTACAAGGCATTATCTGACCCCAAGAAAAGCGAAACCTGCTTGGCACTTAGCCTTAAAGAAAGAAATGTGTTTTTAGCGCCTTAGCCAAAACAGATAAGTTGGAGGCTGCCTTCACGATGCTTCACTCCAGATCCAATATCTCCTGTTCCATTCTAGGGTGTCTTCAAAAGTGACTATTGCTGGCAGAAGATTATACCTAGTGCGGTACCTAGTGGAGTGTTAAGTTTAATTTATAAATAATAATAATAATAATGGTGAGAAAAATATCATGTTGTTTTTACTCGACAGACCATCTTCCTGGAACAGAACAGTTGGAAAGATGGTCCATCATCACCTTGAGGGGTCTTCGTTTAGAAATAATGACCACCAGCTCAGCAGCAGAACCCGACTTTTTCCATCAACTGAGTTTCATTAGGAAGCCAGACGGATTCAAAGATGCAAAATAATGTAAAAACAAAACAATGAAATATATATATAAATGTGTTTCGCTTTTTTTTTTCAGGCACATTGTGTTGCTGTTTTCAAGAATGAAAAACAAAAATGACGTGTTTTTTTTTACTGAAATAGCGCATTTTTGAATATCTAACGCTATCTGCCGGTGTTGTAAAAAAAAAAAACACTTTAAACATTATTCTTGCACGTGCAATAAATTATGTCTACGTTAAATTAAACGTTTTTTTTTTTTCTGGTATGTTTCCAAAATTTTTGGACATCTTGTGTGTGTATATATATACATATATAACGTTTCGTTAGTGCTCTCTTAATATCATATGGTTTTTAATCTTTATTATTTTTATTTCTATTCAATTAGGATAATTATGCGTCACTAGGTGGCTTTCTACCTGTTTTGTCGGCTGTCTGTGCATCATGGCTGGCACGTTAATTTTCTTGACACACTCATAGTTCCCTATCTTTCTTTCGTACTGTGTCTTGTCATTTTCCAATCTGTGGCCTTCTTAGAAGTCGAGAGGAACACCGAACACGTCTCGTTTTATGTAATGACTTTAATTTTAAATATAATTCAATAATATTTGACACGTATATATACTGTTCCCTTTTGGCATAGAGGCTGATAACTTAGGGAACAATGCAGGAACAGTACGCAACTTTGCTCGGATTTTGCTTATTTTAAAGTTAGTGTTCGAAATTAAGTGACTGTTGTCGAAGATCATCGTTTCGATGCTAAATGTTGACGCAACGTTGTTAGGGGAGAGAGTGGTAGAAAAAGTATCCAGTGTGAAGAGGTGTTGACTTTCGAAGCGAGTGCTGCGAAACGATATTCAAATTAATATTTGGAATAAAACAACCATAAGTGAAGAAAACTGAGTTTAAAACAAGTGTTTTCTTTAGAAATAGCGGGCTGAGTATCCTTTCCGTACATTCTGACGTGAAAATAAAATCTTTATAACGATGTGGTATGGCGAACAAACATTTAAATATGACATCGATTGGTATGCCCACTTCTTACACTTGTTATCATTTGATATAGAGATGAGCATCAGTGTTTGTGTTATCTGTTATAAACAAAGTTGTAAAGTTAGTTAGTCTCAAACCCAAGAAAGAGCACAAGACGTGTGTATAAAAGTCTCAGATTTCTGTGTAGAATAAGAATTGTTAGAAGAAAAACACACACACACACACTCGAGAACAAGATATAGCTTTTCTTGTAGTTTTTAAGGATATCTAGGAATCTGAAATCAGCTCTGATTGGACAATGTACATCCAATGACGGTGAGAAATTTCATGGACAATGCGCAGAAAGCTGACTTGAAGAGTTTCCAAGCCTATGTACGGTCCACAGGAGTTGGATCCTCACATTTCTAATTCCTCACTCCTTTCATTTATCTTTGTTCATATTTTAAAGTTTTGTTGGAACTAAGAACTACCTAAACACTCAACGAAATGTCCAATCAGATTTACTAGAACACCACGAGATGTTTATTTTTAATTTCTAACTTTCCCAACTTGCATTGATTTGTGAAATATGTTAAATTTTAACTGGCGTTTAATGTTTCAAACCCACACAATCTCTGTTTGATCACAACTACTCAGATGTTTCTTTGGCTACCGGTAATACGTAATTTTTCGCATAGAAATGTTTGTTTATTCTTAACTTTTGTTAACAAAAACATTTTATCAGTAGACATTTCTATTAATGTAAATAAAATAACAACTTAAATAAATATTTTCAGAATGTATGTTTATGTACTCAATAATTCGCTGTTATGCATCTTCGTCAAGGGATTATCGATAATCCAGTATCCAAGCTCGTTAATCCAGTATCAACTGGACTATACTCTGTCCGTATGAAAACGAAAAACTGATGTGGTGGTAACAAAAACTTTCGTTGTGAAGATTACCTAAAAAGTATAAAATAATTATAAAACCTTAAGATTGATTGTAACAAAAGCATTTCTTAAATTAAAGTGTTTTAATTGTGGACTCTATTTGGCGAATATACATTTGACCTTTTTCTACGACCTGTTGGTAGGTGGTAAGCTGTTTTCTACATCTCTAGACATATAAATCTTACCTGGACACCATTTCATATCTCCATCTATCTACAGAGTGTCAGAAAATTTGGGAACCAAAGTCACTTCAACGAATTTTACAGAATGTGTTCCACATGCTGTACTTGTAACTCGAAACAAGTTTGGATTAACAGCAGAATTAACTCGACCTTAATTATAGTATTTTGGCACTTGTGTATAAAGTTAAAATTATAAATAATATTCAACGTTAAACAAGTACACAATTAAAAACATTTTATTTAGGCCTATCTATGGCCTTCAAAAAGTTGAATGATGACGTTGTAACGTCGAAACATGTAGTGTCGTCAAGTTTTTGAAGGCCATAAATAGGCCTAAATAAAATGTTTTTAATTGTGTACTTGTTTAACGTTGAATATTATTTATGATTTTAACTCGACCTTCTCATGCTTTGACAGCGCCATAATCAGTCACTTATCTAAAATTAAGAAAAGCTGCATATCATATATGGATCTAAGCTGCATGTTCATGATAGCTGGTAGAGTTGGAAATGTTTCATCTTTCAAACTATACTATCGTAAGGTGAACATAATCTAAGAGCTCAATGTAAGTGCAAAGTTAGATCGCTTCAAATCCTATTTCCTCGTAAAAAAAAAAAAAAAAAGAGTTAATATATATATTGTATAAAACTCATTATTTTTTCAAGTATTAAAATACTTTCAATCCATTTTAATGATCCTGTAGGGAGTTTTATAAATACTCAAATATTTTTCTCTTTTTAAAACAATATGATTATAAAGAAAGTTTCGCATTTCAGCGCATCATGGTATGACATTGAAAGTTAACTTGCTTTGTTTTGTTTGTTTAATTGGATTTCGCGCAAAGCTATGCGAGGGCTAACTGCGTTAGCCGTTTCTAATTTTCAAGTGATAGACTAGAGAGAAGGCAGCTAGTCAACATCATCCACCATCAATTCTCGGGCTGCTTTTTACCGACAAATAGTGAGATGGATCGTCACATTATAGCGCCCCCACGGTTGAAAGGTCAAGCATGTTCGATGATAGGATTCGAACCCGCGACCCATGTGGTGAAATTGCACAGAGGTAATAAGGATATCAAGAAGAAGGAAATTCTATAGTTATCACATATTGCCACTAGGAGCGCCACTTTATGATCTAATGTCCGATCAATCACAGCAACCGTTCAAAATATGCTCCTTCAGCACCTACAATGAAGTTGTTGTGCGCGTTGAAGCTTCTAGAAATGGTGAAGTGTACTTCATCAGTCCATAAGATGCTGGCAGATCATTGGTCATCGACTTCCAGTCTTGCCAAGAACAAATTCAACACGTTGGGTTAAATCCGCCTCTTTCGGTGCTTCAACACGATGCAGCTTTTTTTAAACAAGTATTTACAAAGCTGACCAATGAGCTTTACAAATGTGTCTTAAAATTGGTAAATCAAGTCACCGGGAGACATAGCACGCAGCCAAGTGCACTTGTTCTGCTTCGTCATGGCCAGGTGGTTAGGGCACTCGACTCGCAATATGATGGTCGCGGGTTCGAATCCCCGTCTCACCAAACATGCTCGCCCTTTCAGCCATGGGGGCGTTATAATGTGACGGTCAATCCCACTATTCGTTGGTAAAAGAGTAGCCCAAGAGTTGGCGGTGGGTAATGATGACTAATTGCCTTCCCTCTAGTCATTCACCGTTAAATCAGGGACGGCTAGCGCAGATAGCCCTCGTGTAGCTTTGCGCGAAATTCAAAACAAACAAACAATTTACATAACTTCCGCCCAGGGAACGGGTACTCCAGCTAGTTTGTAATATAATAAGATGAGGTAATGATGAATCAGAACATGAAATATCGTTTGTGAAATGTTCTCCCGGGTTGAAGTAGTTGTAGGAGTTTTGATTCATCATTGTTATTTTTTAGTGGTTTCACTAGAGTGGTCTACTAGTTTGAAATTCTCCAACGATAATGGATGTTTTTATATAATTTTCTGTTCTATAGTTTGAGATAATTTTATTTTTATTCTTTCCTAGAACATTTTGAGCTTGAGTGGTGGTTGACCTAAATTCCATTGAAGGTAGTTTTCTTCAACCACTATTCTGTACTTCCACTTGTACCTAAATTGACCTGAGTTGACCTAAATTCCATTGAAGGTAGTTTTCTTCAATCACTGTTCTGTACTTCCACTTGTATTGCATTTTTTTTTGTTCAATTTGCAAAGTTTGTTTGCTTGTTTGTTTTGAATTTCGCGCAAAGCTACACGAGGGCTATCTGCGCTAGCCGTCCCTAATTTAGCAGTGTAAGAGGGAAGGCAGCTAGTCATCACCACCCACCGCCAACTCTTGGGCTACTCTTTTACTAACGAATAGTGGGATTGACCGTCACATTATAACACCCCACGGTTAAAAGGGCGAGTATGTTTGGTGGGACGGGGATTCGAACACGCGACCCGCAGATTGCGAGTCGAACGCCCTAACCACCTGGCCATGCCGGGAATTTGCAAAGTTCTCTCAGGAGATAGCGATGATGAACACAGTTACCCAGCAGTGTTTTATCGCTTACCCACTGTTACGGATTTATCAGTTAATGAAATAAATAAAAAATGGAGTGGCAAGTTTGTTATTGAGATCTTTACGACAGAGCTCCCGAGAGTAGGAGGTTATTAATGTGTATTTGAATTATATTTTTACATTTCCCCAAGCTCATCTGTCATTACATCTATTTTACGTAGTTATATACAGTGTTTGACAGTCGTAATGATTTCCTTTTATAATCAAGAAAGCGAAAGTTTTAGAAAGTAACTTTCAACTAATCTCAGTTTACACGAAACAAAGAAATATACAACTCTACTAACCTGGCTAACGTAATAGAGGCCATAGTCGGGCTTCTCTTCTGGTGGCGCTGCTCTTCTTGTACGTTTTATATGGATGATGGTCTGCAACGAGCGCGTGCAAGTGAGCACGCGCTCACTCACCCAGCCGAGGGGATTGCAATGGGCCGACTGTCGCACTGTTGCTAGACAAGTTGCTAGTATCGTTTTGCTTTAAAGGACGGCTGGAGGTTTACTGTAGAGCCATCTATAAATACGCACTACCCTGCTCTGCATATCAGTCTGTATGATTCTTTATAGAACGTTAATTGTTTTATGAATCAGCGATCTTTGTATCCATTTCAGGCCTATGGTAAGTTGTTGTGTGTTAGAACGTACAATTTCTACTTTAGTCTAGCCAGGATCCCTCTAACATTGCATTTAGAACTTAAGATATTTTATTCTGAATCAATCAAATTGATCTTATGCAATCGCTCTAATATTTCTTAATGAACTCGTACTTAGGTTCGACAATTTCCACGATATTGTGTTTAGAAAAGATAAGGACAGATAATCATTATGTAGGATGTAAGTGTTCGTTTTCATATTATCATCACCATCGGCCTTTATATAACCAGTATTGTTACTCGGAAAAATGTAATTTATTAATTGTCAGTTTATGGCCCAATATATTTCTCTCAGTGTTTAAAATACAATCAGTTTCTTATTGAGCTATACTCATGAAAGCTCAGAACAAATTATATCATAAGTTATGGTATATATATATATATATACAGTGAATATTAGTTATTTTGGACTAAAATGTGGTATATAAACACATCAGAAAATCTCTCTCTCTCTCTCTCTCTAGCTATCTGTAATTGGTACCACCATTAGTTTATAAAGACTAACCTAAATAGTGAATTTTTTTTCAGAACAATTACGTCTTCAACATTAATTTTTAAAGGTTGACATATATTTATGTATATGTGAGAGTGTCTGTGTGTGTGTTTTTGTAGAACTGTTAAAATATTTAGTGTTGGAATTGACTCTATTTACGTAGGTTTTCAATTTCACGTGTCACGTCTTTCAGTAATGGAATATAGCTCAGAGAAACGTAGTTTAAATTTGATGTTTTCGACAACCGTATCTTTTGTGTTTAAACTGCAGTGTCGTATGGTCTTATTTATCGACTCAAAACATATCTCGTGCTTACTTATATCATCTTGAGTTCACTTGTTGCATTTACATATAGGCCTATAAAGTAGTACATTGAAAGAAATCCTTTTAATAAGTTGTTATGTAGTCAGATACATAACGTGTTTTGGGTTTATTCCTTTAATAAGGAAATACTTTTTACTGAATTAAATGTAAAAATGTCTATGTCTCTGAACAATATGTTCAATTTTCTGTTGGCTTACCGTTAAGAGGCTAAAAACTTGTAATGATTTTGTTTTTTTTTCTGACGTGATGGTTAGGCCTTTTTTCATTCTTGAAATAAGGATATGAATAACTGCTGTAATAGTATTCGTAATTGATACGAAGTTGAAATAAATAAATCAAGATGAGAATTACTTAAGCGTTATATATGATATCGCATGAATTAATTACTTATTTTAAATTAATTGTGGTGGCAAATCACTCACTTAAACACTGACCTTAAAAATAATATAAACTATATAGATACAGCAACGAAAACGAATAAATATTTCATGTTTTTTAATTTTCTTTCAGATCGAAGCAGTATTGCTTAATGTAAATATTAGAACACAGATTAAGTTAATTAAAATTAATAACATTATTACATAATATATCTAAACGTATTTTTTGTTAATTTTTAAGCTAAACATTATATACAATGGCCTATCTCCCCCTAGGGTTTTTCTACCGCAGGTATCGAACCTCAAATTTAGCGTTGTAAGCTGTCAAGGCAAATACACAGAAATATTGCGATGAACAAACCTATTACTGAATGATGATTGTTTGACATTCACTTTGAGTTACAATGGTCTGGTAGGTCCGCCAACATGATGGACTTCAACGAATGACTTTTCAAAGTTCCAAATACATCCTTAAATGAAACAATGGGTTACAATGGTCTTGTAGGTTTATCAAAATGAGGGACATCAATGAATGACTTCTCAAAATTCTGAATACATCCCTAATTGAAAAAAAAGGGGTTACACTGGTCGTTAGATTTTCCAATATGAGGGACATCAATGAATGACATCTCAGTGACAAATATTTTGAAATACAGTCGTTATGCACGATTTATTTATAAAATACATAAGCCACAGGCAGCGGAACAAATCTGAATCTGAAAAAGGGGGATCGACGATTGGGGACACATTACGTGTTATGTTAAAGTTGAAATAGCACACCACTATCGGGCAAATAGTTGGTGGCACGTGCCCCCTGTGCTCCCATCAGTTCTACTACCTACGATACATAACATATTGTTTCATACTTGAAAAATAACTGAAAATGTACTAGTGAGCCACAAAGTTCAGCTCATAAAAATATTTTTATACGTATTTTACAATAGTATCTGCCATTATTTTTAATCAGTCTGGTGCATGGCTTCTGTTTTTAAGTTTTAGAACTCAGAATTTCAGGGCGTGTTTATTACACTTTTAATATTTTGCAAAAACTAATTTTCTAAACTTTTCAGTTTTTAAAACTGCATATTTTTTTTGGTTTCACATTTTCGAACTTTTAATTTCTTCAACGTTGTGTTTTGTTAGATACCGTTTCAAAATCTCTTGATCTTAGAAATTTGAAGCCCGAATATGTCATCACACATCGCGTTTCGATTTAAATTTAAGTTTTCAATTCAAATTGTCTAGAGGCATTGTGTTCAGACGGGGCTTGGCCTAGTGGTTAGTCAAGAGCTCGTGATCGAAAAATAGGCACTCTGAGATTGAATTTTGTGCTAGTTTTACAATAATTTATTGAAAGTATTAATTATTTGTAAGTACTTGTTTATGATTCACAACAACAGGAATTCACTGACACTTATATTCACCATAGCTATAAGCGAGTACAACAATGTACACTTGCAGATTACACGTGTAATGTATTATACATTGTTATTCTGATTCATACACACTACTATAAGTCTATCTATTTACTTAGAAACAATTTTCGAAGTGCAAGGTAAAGTTTAAAAAGCTCCACAGTTACTCTGACAAAATGTTCGTCTGGCTGCTGCCTCGGTGTGACGGATACACAATCCAGAGCTCTTCAGGCTGCCTGGGTTACTTTCTTGAAAATCCCTAAGGATAAAGAACATAGGGTTTAAGATAAAAATGTAATGAGCCTAATACTAATGTCTTATGATAATAATAAAATCGTCACATTAGATTCGTTTCGTTAAAGTATAGATTCTGCACTAAGTGAAGGCTCTAATAATCTAAACTTTTTATTGTAAATGTTGCATTGTAGTGTTTGTGGAAATTTTCTCAACTAAAGACAATGGCAAGTAGAACATTCGTGTTTCGATAGTGCTTACTACATTAATTATCGTGAGTGAAGGAAAATATTTTTGTATTTTAACAGAATTGTAACTTGTGTAACATATCGAGTGGTAATGTGGAATTGTGACAGAAAGTTTTGTTTTACATTCATTAGTTATGTTATATATATTTTATGATTAACACTTATGTCTTTATAAATTATGATTAGAAAAGCTAAACCAAGTCACACTTAGCATTATCTAGTAAACCAGTTAAAACTGGGTCATGTGACGTATAATTATATGATACTCTATATATGTAATATTCTAATTACATGATATTCTACTTATGTTGTCAGTTTGTTGTTCATTGCAAAACGCAAAGCTACACAATGGACTATCTGTGCTCTGCCCATCGCGGGTACCGAAACAAGATTTTTAGCATTATAAGCCCACTGACTTATCACTGAACCACTAGTTATCTGATAATAAGAATTAAATAAAGCTATGAAATGTCGAGAAAGGGCGAGTGCGTTCATTGTTCTATTTATCTACTGTCCACCATGTGAAACTCTGACATTGTTTCTACGTCTACTACTGCAGAAGTACCATGTGAAACTCTGACATTGTTTCTACGTCTACTACTGCAGAAGTACCGTGTGAAACTCTGGTATTGTTTCTACGTCTACTACTGCAGAAGTACCGTGTGAAACTCTGGTATTGTTTCTACATCTACCACTGCAGAAGTACCGTGTGAAACTCTGGTATTGTTTCTACGTCTACCACTGCAGAAGTACCGTGTGAAACTGGTATTGTCTCTACGTCTACCACTGCAGAAGTACCGTGTGAAACTCTGGTAGTGTTTCTACATCTACCACTGTAGAAGTACTGTGTGAAACTTGTATTGTCTCT